TTCGAGCCTATGGAGTGTGTTTATGTGTGTTGTTCCTGCTAGGCAAGTGCTGTACCATTTAGCCCAATTCAGTTTGTATTCTCTTTGTACATGTTTATGCATTCTTGAGCAGGTTTTTTTGTTTGTTTGTTTGTTTGTTTGTTTGTTTTGTTTCCTGGAACTCAATATGTAACCCAGGCTGATTTTGAACTCAAGATCCTCCTGCTTCAGCCTTCAGAGTGCTGGGATTGCAGGTGGGATTACAAGCGTGGTGGCCACCACGTGTGGCCTTGTGTTCTCTAGTGTGTGCACCTCCCCACCCCCTTCCCCAGACCCATTTGTGTGTGTGTTTAGGCCACAAATGTTAGGCTGTATGTGTTTTCTTAAGTTACTTTTATTTTCAAAATTACCACTTTACATGCATGTATGTTTATGTACCACATTCATGCCCGATACTCAATAAAGAACAAGAGAGGGCATTGGATCCCCGGAACTGTCGAGCAACCGTGTGGTTACTCCAAATTGAAGGCAGGTCCTCTCGAATAGCAGAGCAGCCAATGCTCATCTCTCCAGCCTGATTTATTTGTACTCTTTAAGTATAGTGGGGCTGGGAACATGGCTCAGAGAGTAAAGTTATTGTGGTAGTATGAAGACCTGAGTTTGGAAGAAGCTGGGTGTGATGCCATGAACTTGTAGCTGCAGCACTGTAGGGTTCAAAGATAATTTCTGAGGACTCACTTATTAGCCTACTGTAGCTGAAGAGGGCAAGCTCGAGATCAGTGAGAGACCCTGCCTCAAAAAACAATGAGGTGTGGAGCGATAGAGGCATCTCCTTTACACCCTTACATGCAGCTTAGAGCCCCAGCACACAAATATGCGTACACAAAAATAAAAAAACATATAAATGTGCTCTACAAATGTGGGTTTTTTTGTTTTTAAGACAGGCTTTCTTTGTGTAGCCTTGGCTGTCCTGGGAGGCAGAGACAGGCAGATCTCTCTGAGGTCAAGCCCAGTCTGGTCTACAGTTCCAGGACAGCTAAGGGCTACATAAAGACACCCTGTCTTGGAGGAGGGGGAAAAAGAAAAAGAAGAAAAATGAACACAGTAAAGAAAATAGGTAATTAAAAATTACTTAAACAATTATATGCATATGCCTCAAGTGTAACGTAAAGGCTGAAGGATAAATTATCTTTCCCCATTCTAATTCTTGTCTGCTATGCTCCCTTCAGATGTCTTCATGCAGATAGACCTGAGCAGGGAGGCAAATATTTTGTTCTTTCTGAGGCTTTTTTTTTTTTTTTCCATTCTTGTTTATTTGTCTCTTCTCTCTGTGTAGCCCTGGCTAACCTGGAACTCACTATGTAGACCAGGCTGTTCAGGAACTCACAGAGATCCACGTGCCAGTGCCTCCTGAGTGCTGGAATTAAAGGTGTGCCTCCTCATGTAGCTTTTAAACTCATCTTCATTTGTAAGAAATAGAATAGTGCTTAAGAGCACATGCCCTGTGGCTGGGCCTACACTGCTGCATCCTGCTTGCTTATCCACAAAGCTCTGGGTAAGCTGAGGTGCTGCATGCCAGCAATTCCAGCCCTGGGAGGTAGAAGCATCAGGACCAGCAGAGGCTCCAGTGATACATTCAGGGATACTTGTATGTTCCTTGCTCTGCCACATTATGCTGTAGAATGTTTTTTTCATATGAACTGATGACTCGGCACATTATTTGCTTAGGTGAGTATCACACATGAATATATTGTGTTTTTATTACAGATTAAAAAAAATAACAATAGGAACCAGAGAGATTATGGTTCAGTGGTTAAGAGCACATTGCTTATGCATAAACTTCTATTTGATTGGTTAAGATCCATGCACATACATGGCTGTGTGTAATATTTTTAGATAAAAGTGACCCCTAGATTTTATATTCCCTGAGCAAACTTTTGGTGGTCTCGGGGGCAGGGTAGGAGGACAACAAGGGTTCATTGTTCCCAGTTCTTTTTTCCGTGTCTCTGTGTATGTGGGTGGTGCTGTCATCTATGGGAGCACACTTGTCTACGTGGGCTCATGTGGAGCTGAGAGGTTGACATTGAATTCTCGTTTTTCAGTCACTTTTCCATCATATTGTTTTGAGACAGGGTTGAACCTGGATCTCACCCTTCCTGCTAGATTGACTGGCTAGCCAGTTTTCTAGGATGGATCTCTCACTGCCTGAATTGGAGTCACAGTTGGACACTGCTACCCTCGCTTTTATGTGGATGCTGAGTATTTGAACTCAGGCCCTCGTGCTTTACCAAGAAGCCATCTCTCCAACCCTGTTTGGTTTGGTTTGGGATAGCATCTCATTATGTATCCCTGGGTAGCCTGGGATTCTCTGTGTAGAGTAGGGTAGCCTGCCTCTGCCTGGGATTAGAGGCTTATGCCACTGTGCTCAGCCCCCAGCCCAGCTATTTTGAGACAGGGTCTCATTTAGCACAGGCTGTCTTCTAACTTGTGCAGCTGAGGTTGCCCCTGATCTCCTCATTTTTGTGCTTCCACCTGCCAAGTGCCAAGACTCTGGGTGCACACCACCATGCTCAGACACACCAGTCCTTTACTTTCTTTTTAAAAATTACATTTTTAATTATTTTGTGTGTGTAGGCTGGAGAAGAGTGCAGTATACATGGTGCATTTGTAAAGGTCAGAAGACAACTTAGGGGAGTTGTTTCTTTCCACTATGTGGGTTCAGGGATGGAATACTTTAGGTCTTCACTTGTTTTTCTTAGTAAGATTCAAAGTATAACTGCAGAGCTCTTCTTTCCCCAGTTATGGGGAAAGCTCTTCTTTACCCAGTGTGGTGCCTATACTTCTGTTTTCTTACATCATGGTATGCATGTGGTCCCTTAGGACATTCTTCTGTTACCTTTTATGGTGGTAGTGTATATTGATTTAAACAAAAGTAAGCTTAGTATTATGAGCATCTTAGTTGTGCCATTGAATCACCTATAGGACTATACTCCTTGAGTACTGTGCTGCTGTATGCCAGTTCCTTTGGAATATACCTGAACCCTATTTAAGATAATTTAAAAACAAACTGCATCAACATATCCTTTAGAGAAATCCTCTTGAACATCCTTATGGCATGGGATTATGAGATCACAGGATCTTGGTACATTCCTCCCCGCCTTCTTCAGGATAGGGGGAGAGGGAGAACTGGTCGGAGATGAGCTCAAATCCATATACATAGATATACATGATACAATTTTTTTTTTGCCTTCTGAATGAATATAGATCACTTCAATGTCTTAAAACCATCTTTCCCCTCTTTCTCAATTCTTTTTATCTTTGTTCATTCCTCCTTTTCGCTTCTCACATGAAATTTCTAAGACCCAAATTTGCTTCAGGTAAAGGAGGACTCTAAAAAGTTCTTAGTCTTCACCTACCTTTTAGTGCATTTACCCCATAAAATTCTCTTGACCCTGTATAATATCCAGCCTTTCAAAAACTGTAAACATTGCTTTGTTCATTTTGACCTTTTACATTTGCGATTTTTAGTAACTTAATTCTTTGTTACATATTAACTTATGTGTGAATCAGACATTTAAAGTTTTTCCTCCTATACTTCAGTAAATAACAGGGGAAAAAAACTAGACTGTCTTCCTGTTCAAAAACCCATGATGTCTAAACCTGGATTTAGGACTTGTGTTCTTTCCAGGCTACCATGAAGAAGGAATACTGAAGTGAACAGTATAGGTTGACTCTTAGAAGTAAAAGAATCAGGAATAGCATTAAAAGCTTAAAAGACCGTCTTCCAAAAAGCTTTGGCTGACCTGCCAGCAGGTAGGTGAGCAAGATGCACTTAGTTCACAGAGAAGAAGGCTGGCCCTGAGAGTTTCAGCATCGTAGGGGAGCTGGCCCTGAGTCCAGCAGACTTCTAGTCAGAGCTTTCAGGAAGTTTATTTACATCAAGCACTAAGACCAGATCATCTGCTAGGTTTCTCTGCTGGTGTCATTTAGAATGGAGCCCCACTTGTAGCGCATATGACCAATGAGGTTCTTGTTCTGACTTGTTTTCCCAACAGGTCATGGTGCTGATGTGAAGTGTGTAGACTGGCATCCAACCAAAGGGTTAGTCGTTTCAGGAAGTAAAGATAGCCAACAGCCAATCAAGTTCTGGGATCCCAAGACTGGGCAGAGTCTTGCAACACTGTAAGTGGTAGGAACCTCTCTGTGTTCCCTGGAAGAGGAGGGACCAAAGACAGCCTGCACGACTTAGTTTCTAGCTTTCTCTTCTGTCCCCCCAACCCCCCAAAAAAGTGGTTTGGACACAGGCGAGCTTCAATCTTTGGCTACGTTATGTTTAATTATATTTAGTTATGTTTATTGTGACGTATCTCTAAATTTTTCATGAAAGCAGATATTTGTTCTGCCACAGACCTAAATTGTACCTTGGTTATTCTACAGGATTGCAGGAAGATGAGATGGAGATGTTGTCTCCATGTCTCCTCAGAACACCTGGCACCTATTATTTTTGTGCCAATTCTCTTCTCTCTTTCTCCTCTTCTCCTGTATTTCCCCCTCCTTTCCCTCCCCTGCCATCACTTTTCTATTTATCCCACTCCTCTCTCTTACCTCCCTTCCTTACTCACCCATCTCTTGCCTTCTCCCCCTTCCCTCTCCTTCTTCTCTCTTTCTCCCCCTCTTTTTTCTCCCTCCCCTTTTCTCTTCTCTTTCTTTTCCTTTCCCTCTTCCCTCTTCCTCTCTCCCCCCTCTGCCTCTCCTCTTTTCTTTCTCTCCTCTCTTCACCTCTCTCTCCCTTTCCTCTTTTCCTCCCTATCCCTACCTGCCTCCCTATCTCTTCCTCCTCTCTGTCTCTGCCCCTCTGCCCCCTTGAGGAGACCTGCTTGCTTATGTAGCTGTGTTTGGTTTTTTTAATTGGCATTATTTGTAATTATTTACAGCTACATGAATGTGTTCTATGGGGACCTATAGGTGCCATATCCTGTCCCTAGTTGGAAACAAAACAGGCACAGCTCAAATTGGTTAAGGTGAGGCTATCACATGGTACCTGTGAGCCCTTGGGTTTAAGCATTATTTAGGGCCTGGGAAAAAGCATTGTCTTTAGTTCAAATTAACCCTCACACTATATCTAAACTTGTCCCTGCTTCTCTGCTCTGTTTTTTTTTTTGTTGTTGTTGCTTTGTTTTGTTTTTGAGATAGGGTTTCTTTGTGTATCCTTGGCTGTTCTGGACTCACTTTGTAGACTAGCCTGTCCTCAGACTCACAGAGGTCCACCTGCCTATGCCTTCCAGAATGCTGAGATTACAGGTGTGTACCATCACGCCTGGCCATACTCTCTCTTACTGAGAGAAACATTGAATTTTTCAAATCTGATGAACTTGATTATCAGCTTATATATTCTAAGTACTTCCCTTTTTTTAGATGAGCCTTTCTGTCCAACAGAATCCCTTTTTTTCTTCTTTTTTTCTTTTTTTTTTTCAGATTTAATTCACTTCATTTTTCTTGTATAAAAACCCTTATGTGGTAGCCACAGCTGGAGCGTGGGTCCTCTGAACAGAGACTCTGGTCTGGGTTTTCACTAGATGATCAGTGAATTCCTGATAAGGAGACTTGGTGAACACAGTCTCTTTCCAGATTTTGGAGATGGTATCAAAGGTGGCCTTGCCAAAGTTGCCCAGGGTGGCAGTGTAGCCCCTGGCTGATGTGTAGCAGTGGTCAACACCAGCCATCATCAGTAGCTTTTTGGGCACAGGAGCAGAGACATTGCCAGTGCCTCTGGGAGCAGAGATGAGACAAACAGAGCCACAGTGGCCTGTCACCTTGCACAGAACAGTGTGGGGCTTGCCAATCTTATTGCCCCAATAGCCTCTCCGCACAGGGACGATGGAAAGCTTGGCCAAGATGATGGCTCCTCGGATGGCAGTGACTACCTCCTTGGAACACTTAACACCAAGACCAACATGACCATTGTAGTCTCCAACAGCAACAAAAGTCTTGAACCTGGTACGCTGGCCAGCCCGTGTCTGCTTCTGCACTGGCATGATTTTTAGAACCTCATTCTTTAGGGATGCACCCAGGAAAATGTCAGTAATCTCCAATTCCTTAATGGACAAGGAGAACAGGTAGATCTTCTCCAACGACTTTATCTTTATGTCCTTTACCAGGCAGCCCAGCTCAGTGACAGGGATCCACTCCTTGTCTTTGGCTTTACCTCCATGAGCCCCTTGGCCTCAGCTTTGGCTCCTAAGACCTCTTCACCCATAACACCCCCTCCGGGGAAGCTGCTGAGGCCTCCTAATCCTGGGTCCCAGGTCCTCTGGGCCCTCCTGCTACACCAGCGTCATCAGACATTTGGGGTTTTCCAGAAGAAGAAGAAGAAGAAGCCCATTGCTCTTTTAGCTGGATTTTGAGAGCTGTTTTTAGATGTTAGACTTTATTTCTATCATTCACAGAGGTGGTATTGTTTATTTTCTTCCTGTTTCTTTTTGTCTTTTTTTTTTTTTTTACTTTTTCCTTTTTGAGACAGTGTCTCTCTATGCATTCCTGGCTGTTCTGGAACCTTTGTAGACCATCCTGGCCATGAACTCACACAGGTGCCTTGCCTCTGTCACCTTTGCTGGTATTAAAGGTGTGTGCCATCCTGCCTGGCACTAACAAGGGCTTTCTTTTTCTTTTTCTTTTTTTATAATTTATTTAGTTTTTATTTTATATGCATTGGTGTTTTGCCTGCATGTATGTCTGTGTGAGGGTGTCAGATCTTGGAGTTATATACAGTTTTGAGCTGCCATGTGGGCTGAGAATTGTACCTGGATCCTCAGGAAGAGCAGTCAGTGGTCTTAACTGCTGAGCCATCTCTCCAGTCCCCTAACAGGAATTTTCAAGTAGTTTTAAATGTGGTCCTATCTAACTTTATATATATGGGTTATTACTACCAGGCCATACCTCTTGCCATCTTCATCTCTGTGCTTTCAACAAAAAGGACCATTTATATTAAGTGATGCTTGTTTTGCATTCTGACGTGTTATACTCTTGGTGTTTTGTTTCTAGTCATGCCCATAAAAACACAGTGATGGAAGTGAAATTAAACCTCAATGGCAATTGGCTCCTCACGGCATCTCGTGACCATCTCTGTAAGCTTTTTGATATCCGAAACCTGAAAGAAGAGCTTCAAGTGTTCCGAGGTCACAAGAAGGAAGCCACAGGTCAGTGGCTGTGATGTGCTTCTCATTTTGGTGACCTTTAACCTGCAGCTATCTCACCCTGTAATCATTCATTTGCCTCTGTGTTTTTGTTTTACAGCTGTAGCCTGGCATCCTGTTCATGAAGGACTTTTTGCCAGTGGAGGATCTGATGGGTCTTTGTTATTCTGGCATGTTGGGTATGTACCATTTACTGTGTAGAAAAATGAAAATGTTTGTGTGTACACACATTCCCACATGGTATGGCAGCAGAGATATCCTGCTGTCTTGTATTTGGAGCCTTAGCTAGGGAAATTTTGGTGGCTAGAGACTGACTCACCATTGGAGGTTTTTTTTTTAGAAATACATGTACATGGCCACTGCTTGTGACTTCAGCTTCTCCACGTATGAAGACAGGGTCCTTCATGGCAGATTTGGGTTTAAAAAACTCAGATCAAGATGAATGATCTTGGCTAGTGAGATGGCTCAGCAGGTAAAAACACTTGCTGAGCAAGCCTGACAACCTGAGTTCTCTTCCAAAATGTGTGCATGCGTTCATATCACACATACCACACGCACACACCATGAATTACACCCACCACACATACATATACATCACACACAACATTCACAGACGCATCGCAGACGCACACATCACACATCTCACACACACACACACACATCATACACATATTAAGAAATTTAAATAAAAATCCGTTTTGAACTGGCCTCCAAATCATGCAACTGTATCTTTTATAGTGTTGTGATGACTATAAAATGGCTGCAAGGAGGAGTATGTTTTATGAAAAGAGTTCTCAAATGTATATAAATATGGTAAAATCTTTCAATTTTCTATGGAAATGTGTCCATATCAGAGACTGTCCTGCAGGCTTAAATTTTGTAAATCTAGCAAGATAATACTTGTGTTTTGGATATAGAAATTATGGAAGAATGAAATAGAGTCCTTAGTTGAAATACTTTGTGAAGCATCTTTTTCCTTTTAGAGACAGTGTCTCTTTATGTATCCCTGGCTGTTTTGGAACCTTTGTAGACCTTTAATTCTTTTATGTTTGACTGAATCTACTCATGAAAAACTAATGTAACACATGACCGTGACAAGATTCAAAGTAAAAGATATTGATAGCTCTTTTTTCATACTAAAACAAAATATCCTTTTGTTTTATTTCCATGTTTTTGGTGTTCCTTTGCTTTGTTTTTGTTCTTATGGTAATTTTGGTTCAACAGTTTCTTTCGCTGGTACTGTTTGCAGGGTTGAGAAGGAAGTAGGTGGGATGGAGATGGCCCATGAAGGAATGATCTGGAGTTTGGCTTGGCATCCTCTTGGACATATTCTCTGCTCAGGATCAAATGACCATACTAGGTAAGACTCTACTGAAAATACCAAGACATTTTCATACTCAGGGAGTAATAAATATAAATAAATATGATACGTATTTATTTAATATTTATCGCTTTATATTTCAAATTATTTTTTAGAAACATTTTTATAGGAGACACTTATTGAGGAGAGGCAGTTAGCATGCAAAGGAATGGGCTTCTTAGTCATGTTCACATGTGAATAATCTTTGTTCTTAGCTGTTCTCCTCTTCTACTTCCCTGCCCCATTCCTTCTAAATGTGTATATCTTGTTTTCCCAGCACTGTTGCTGAAAGACCTGTCATTTTCCTGGGATATAGTTTTGGCACTTTTGTCAAAATTAAATGTATGTGACCTATTGATTTATTTCTGAGCTCTCTATTCTATTGTTTATTTTTGCACCAGTGCCCAGTGCCATGCCATTTTGTTAACAATCAGGCTGTAGTATAATTTGAGATCAAGTGTTAAATATCTCTAGTATTGGTCTTTCTGTTAAGCATTAATTTGGCTAAAAAAATTTTTTTAATAATTGTTTTGTTTTTTATTGTTGTTTACAAGTGAGTTTTAGAATCTTTTTACCCTTTTGAGTTCTATGTATAATCATTGGAATTTTGAGGGGATTGGGTTGAATCTGCAAATCGTTTTCAGCATTGTAGTATTAATTGTATCAATCCACTAGAGTAGGAATTTCCATCTACTGTTCTTTAGTTCTTTATTAGTGTCTTGAAGTTTTTATTGTAGAGATATTTTCATCTCTTTGCTTAGGTTTTTTTTTTTTAAGATAGGGTTTCATGTATACCAGGCTGGTCTTGAACTCACTATGTAGTCCAGGATACCTTAAACTTTTGATCCTGCTGCCTCATCTCTTAGGAACTTGGATTACAGATATGGACTTGCTAGGCCTGTTCTTTTTAATTTTTTGAAGCTGTTATAATGTTTTCTTTTTGTTGTTGTTATTGTTGTTTATTTGTTTTGGAGGGGTTGGTTAGGTCTTTCTTAGAAAGTTCAGTATTGGTTCAGTATTCAAGCCAATAGAAATGTTCTAAGGACCATTCATGGAGATAACCCAGAACCCTTGCACAGAGGTAGCCCATGATAGCTCAGTATCCAAGTGGGTTCCTTAGTACTGGGTACAGTGGCTGTCTCTGACATGAACTCAGTGGCTGGCTCTTTAATCACCACCCCCTGAGGGGGGAGCAGCCTTACTAGGCCACAGAGGAAGACAGTGCAGCCAGTCCTGATAACACCTGATAGGCTAGAGTCAGATGGAAGGGGAGGAGGACCTCCCCTATCAGTGGACAGGGGAGGGGCATGGGAGGAGAAGACGGAGGGGACAAGGGAGGGGGCTACAGTTGGGATACAAAGTGAATAAATTGTAATAAATAAAAATAATAAATTTTAACAAAAAAGAAAAAAGTGTTTAACTAGCTTAAGAATTTTCTAGTAGAGTCTTTAGGCATCTTTTAACTACAGGATCATGTCATCAGCCAAAAGGAATAATTGGGCTTCTTTTTCTATTTCTGTTCCTTTTATTTCATTCTCTAGATTAATGTTTTAGCTAAGGCTTTGAGCATTCTCTGAGTAAATAAGGAGAGAATGGGTATCCTGGTCTCATTCTAGATTTTAGGAGAAATATTTTTAGTTGTCTCATAGTCTTTGTTAAATTGGGGAATATAACATTCCTTCTACTCCTATTTTCTTCAGGGCTTTTACCAGGAAGTGATACTGAACTTTGTCACAGGTCTTTTCCATATCTATTGATGATCATGTGGTTACTGTCTTTAATTCTATTTATGTACTGTATTGCATTTATTGATTTTTATATATTGAATCAGTTTACATTACTGGGATGAAAAACTGTTTGGACATTGTCCTATTTTGCTTTTCTGTTGCTGTGATAAACCCCACACTGAAAGCAGCCTGGGTAAGAAAGGGTTTATTTCATCTGTCAGCTGCTGGATCACACTTCATTCCTTGGAAATTCAGGCCAGGGACTGGGAACACAGACCATAGAGCACACTGCTCACTTTCTTGCTCTCAGGTTCATGTTCAACTCCTTTATTATATAGCCCAGACCCATTTGCCTGAAGATGGTACTGCACACAATGGGCCAGGCACCTACGTTAGTAATCAAGAAAATGCCCCCACTGTTTACAGGCCTGTCATTTGAGGTTGTTTCTTCTCAGGTATGTCTAGGTCTGTGTTACTGCCATCTGAAGCTATCCACGATAGATATGTATTCACTTAATGTGTTCTTTAATTTGGCGTGGAGTTTATTTTCTGGCTTGAAATATTTCATCCCATGCTGTTCTGGATATCAGGGTTGCTAGTGAGAGAGTTTTACCGAGCAACTGAGATCTTGCATTAATTAGTTACCTTCCTGTTGCTATGACAGAACACCACAGCAAAGGGAACTTAAGACAAAATTCACTTTGCTTATAGTTTCAGAGGGACAGGAGTACATCATGGCAGGGCAGAGCCATGGCAGCAAGTGGTAGGCATATGGCAGGGGAGGACCCTGAAAGATCACACCCTCAACTGCAAGCAAGAGGCAGAGAGGGCCAATAGGGAACAGGAAGTAGGGCTGTGTAAGCTCCAGTGACATACTTCTTTCAGCAAGACTGCACCACCTAAACCTCCCCAAATAGTGCTGCCAGTGAAGCAAGTGTTCACATGCCAGAGCCTACGTGGGTCTTATGTTGTTCAAACCACCACAGTTCTGTAGAAATTAGGGTTGGGCAGGTGTTTACGTGGCCTTTTAAAATGTATTATTTATTTGTGTGTTAATTAGAATCAAGTGATTTTCTTCACCAGAATGAATAAATAAAAGGAAATGGGACATAATATAACATCAGTCAGTATCCTTCCTAATTGGGTTGACTGTGGTTCCCCTACCCTTTGGGTTTTTTTATAGCTGGCTCTACAGGTGGAGAGAGAGCTGCTGGTCTCAGTAATTCAAACAGGCTAGATCCCTGCTGATCAGAGTTCTGTGGTGGGGTACGCCTGTAATCTCAGCATTCCAGGAGGCAAAGGCATTTCTGTGAGTTTAAGGCCAAGCCAACCAGAGCTACACAGGGAGATCTTGACTATAAAACAACAACACAAAAGAGTTTCTGTGTTTGACTCAGCTTTTGGTAGAAGGTTCCTGGTCTGAGACATTTTTTATTCTGCTCACTTCTACCTGCCAGTCACCCTCTCTAATACATGGAGATTACACTTTCCACACTAGGATTTCTGTGTTTGAGGTGTGTAGGGAGCATGGATAGTGTACCTATGCTTGTATTTACATTTGTTGTGGCGTGTTTTTGTGTTTTTTTTCCAAATGGATGGGGAGGTACATGTTCACCAGTGGTGTTCAGCACTGTGGGAATACTTTTATCTGTTGGCTACATTGTGCCATACTGGGGACAGGTCTCCTGATTTCCATGTTGTTGCCAGACTAGTCAGTGGCTGGGGTGATGCTGTCCGTTCTTGAGCTCAGTGAGAATCTCAGCTTCAGATTCCCACACTATGCTGCAGTCTTCACATCCAGTGCTGTGTTTTTAGAGTGTCTGCCCATAATGCAATCGTCCCCTGGTCACAACTCTGCAATGCAACTCACTGTTCTATGATACCACACTCAGGAAGGTTAGTGTACTCCTGGCTGACCCAGGCTGGGCAGCAGTATGGCCCAGAGCTAGGTGGCAGCTGTGGCTGGTGTTTTCACTCATGGAGGTTTTTATACATCTCACCTGAGCTTATTTATTTTCTCTTTACTTTCTTATCCCTTCTTTCTCTGCACTTTCCAGCCATTTTACCATTCTCTTTGTGTTTCTGATGTTTTTGTTTTCTTTCTCTACGTCTACTCATTCCCCTGCCCCTTTTTAAAACAAAGAGTCATGTAGTCCAAGCTAGACTCCAACTTGCTGTGTAGTTGAAATGACTTTAAGCTCTTGCTTCTCCTACATCTGCCTCCAGGGTGCCAGGATTACAAAAGAGTCCCATCATACATAGCCTGAGTCTATTCTTTCTTGTCCTGGTTCTTTTCCTTCACTGAATTACAGCTTCTAATCTGCCATTTTTGTAGTGGTTGACATAAAGGTATTATAAAGAGATGGAATTAATTTTGGTTATTTAAATTTTGTTTTGCCTTCTGATTTAAAATGTTCTTTCCACAATTAAAATATTTAAAAGAATGATATTGTGAAAACTTGATGTGTGCTATTGTGCCTAGAGAAAAAAAACACTGACACTATGCTCCTCTTTCTCCCATTATTCCATTTATTTCACCAGCAAATTCTGGACTCGAAACCGGCCAGGTGATAAAATGCGAGATCGATATAATCTGAACCTTTTACCTGGCATGTCTGAAGATGGAGTAGAGTATGGTAAGATCTGCATATTTGTCCTTTGGAAGTCTCATGATATTTCATTATAAATTTTTTTTTCTTTTCCCAGGGTTTCTCCTGGACTCCCTTTATAGACTAGGCTGGCTTCCAACTCAGAGATCCGCCTGCCTCTGCCTCCCAGAGCACTGGGATCACAGGCGTGGGCCACCATATTGGCCCACATTATAAATGTTAAGTATTAGGAGGCTTGTACAAGTGAATCTGGGGCAAGGGATATAACTAAGTGATCCAGTATTTACCTAGCATGCTTGATGCTCTGTTCTCAATCCTCACACTGCATAATTTAGTTTTTTATTTGTACTCAAAGATATACCTGCTTCTACCTCCCAAGAACTAGGTTTAAAGACTTGTACCAGCTCACCCAGCTTTAGTTTTAATTTTATAATTCATTAATTCCTAAATCATTATCAGTATGACCTATTTTTTTCTTTTTTGGTTTCATTTTGGTATGGGTATGTATGTTTTTGGGGACGGGGTCTCGCTTTGTTTTCCTGGCTTACTTAACTTACTATATAGTCTATGGAGATCTGCCTGTCTCTGTCTTCTGAATGTGTGATTAAAGGCATGTGCTACAGCGCCTAGCGATGCTATTTTTATAAAGCATCTTTCTGTAGGGAACGCAATGAAACTGTGTTGACGCTGGGTCTGTTATTTGTAGATGACCTGGAACCTAATAGTCTGGCAGTGATCCCAGGGATGGGAATACCAGAGCAACTGAAATTAGCTATGGAGCAAGAACAGATGGGTAAGGGCATTTATGTTTATCCATTTAATTTTTTAAGTTATGCTAGACCTCTGTCTTAATTTCATGGCAAATTAATTTGTTAATAAATGGTGTTGAAAGGCTCACATGCTTATGTTGAGAATTGTGAATAAAAATGATTAAAACTAATGTTTAAAAATTATTCTTCCCATAGTTTGTTTATTTATTAAGTGGCTATGTTCTTTTGTTTAAGGGACTAACTAGTTTTTTCTGTGGTTTCAGGGAAAGATGAAGCTAATGAAATTGAAATGACAATTCCAGGCTTGGATTGGGGAATGGAGGAAGTAATGCAAAAGGATCAGAAAAAAGTTCCTCAGAAGAAAGTCCCATATGCAAAGCCCATTCCTGCTCAGTTCCAGCAGGTGAGTCACTAGCAGTGGCCACCTCATTCTTTTCCTAAGAGACTGTGCATGGTTCCTTTAACTCATGCTCTCAGGTAGATGTCTTTGAATAATCTCACCTAGCCCTTTGGTGCCTTCTTCCCACGTTCTTGTTTTTTAACATATTTCCTATTTGCTGCTGTAAAGTTAAATGCTAGCTTGACATTAGTTTTCCCTATGCCTTCTTTTACTATTGCCTCATTTTTATCAGTTACATTGTCAGAGGGAAGAGAAAGAATCAGCAGGCAAACTATGTTGCGGCCTATGTTCAGGGAGGAATGTTCACTTCCTCCCTGAAGCATTATCACCTGGGACCAAGCCATCACCATATGAACTGTTATGAATACCCAACAATAACTTTTAGCTTTCATAATTTTGGTGATTTCCAACTGCTATTACACCTGCTCCCTCCTATTCTTATGTCACAAAGAATTGGCCTTAGAGGTAAAGACAGTTCAGCCATGTATATTGATGACATTAGAGACTGTTTTTCAACCCATCATAATGTTCATGCTTGTGTATAATTTAGTTTTCTCTTCTTTGTTAAGGCCTGGATGCAAAATAAAGTTCCAATTCCTGCTCCAAATGAGGTCCTGAATGACAGGAAAGAGGATATTAAATTAGAAGAGAAGAAAAAAACACAAGCAGAAATTGAACAAGAAATGGCCACATTACAGTATACCAATCCACAGCTTTTAGAGGTATGTGAACTAAGAAAATAGAGCTGGCATCTCTGACTGATGTCCTCTCTACCCCCCTTTATTGTTGTTTTTAAATGATACTTTCTTATTTAGTGTACGTGTGTGTGCAGGTACTTATGTTCATGTGGATGTCAGAAAGCAACATAGCAGTCTTTGAAGGCTCTAACTTATTTTATTTATTCAATACACTGATTTTTTTTTTTCCAGCAACTTAAAATTGAACGGCTTGCACAGAAGCAGGCTGATCAGATCCAGCCTCCTCCCTCATCTGGCACCCCTCTCCTTGGACCTCAGCCCTTTTCTGGTCAAGGCCCAATATCTCAGATTCCTCAAGGTTTTCAGCAGCCTCATCCATCTCAGCAGATACCAATGGTAGCTCAAATGGGGCCTCCAGGTCCACAGGGCCAGTTCAGAGCCCCTGGACCCCAGGGACAAATGGGACCACAAGGCCCTCCATTGCATCAAGGAGGTGGAGGACCACAAGGATTCATGGGACCACAAGGACCCCAGGGTCCTCCCCAGGGACTGCCACGGCCTCAGGACATTCACGGTCCACAAGGAATGCAGAGGCACCCTGGACCTCATGGCCCTTTGGGTCCTCAAGGGCCACCTGGACCTCAAGGTAGTTCTGGTCCTCAAGGTCATATGGGTCCTCAGGGTCCACCTGGACCACAGGGTCACATTGGCCCCCAAGGTCCACCTGCTCCTCAGGGCCACATGGGCCCACAGGGGCCTCCTGGTACTCAAGGAATGCAGGGGCCACCTGGTCCCAGAGGAATGCAAGGGCCTCCTCATCCTCACGGGATGCAGGGTGGACCAGGGTCTCAAGGAATCCAAGGTCCGGTGTCTCAGGGACCTCTTATGGGACTGAATCCAAGAGGAATGCAGGGGCCTCCAGGACCTCGGGAGAATCAGGGTCCTGCTCCTCAAGGGATAATGATTGGCCACCCACCTCAAGAGATGAGAGGACCTCATCCTCCAAGTGGATTGTTGGGCCATGGCCCTCAGGAAATGAGAGGTCCCCAGGAGATGCGGGGCCTGCAGGGGCCTCCACTACAGGGATCAATGTTAGGTCCTCCACAGGAACTACGCGGGCCCTCAGGTTCTCAAGGGCAGCAGGGGCCGCCTCAGGGCTCTTTGGGACCTCCACCCCAGGGTGGCATGCAAGGACCCCCTGGACCTCAGGGACAGCAGAACCCGGCAAGAGGGCCACATCCATCTCAAGGGCCAATACCATTCCAGCAGCAGAAGGCACCTCTGCTAGGTGATGGGCCCCGGGCCCCCTTCAATCAGGTACCATTTATTTCCAGCTTGTACACATTTAACATGTGGGAAAGGAGTCTATGTACAGAACAAATAAGGATGTGAAAAAGCAGTTACAGCTGGGTCTAACTGCTCCTGAAGTATCAATAGTGGCTTACAACAGCGGCAGCCTGGCTGGAGGGACATGATGAGACCTAGATGAAGAGTTAATTATGCCATCATTGAACAGATCTCGTGTCTTTACTTTTTACATTATGAGCTTTCAATGGAATACCATTACTTCTGCCAGGGCTCCAAAAGAGCAGTGGCTTTAAGGAGGAAGCGAGCTAGGTTGTGAACAGTTGTACAATTGTCATAGTCTCTTTTCTGGACTGTTGAGCTTGGTTGTTCCATGGGTCTGCAAGTTAGCAGCCTACCTTCAACATCTCTGTCCACTTCACTTTAACTATTTCTTAAATTATATTTATTTTATATGCATGTGCACACATGTGACATGTACGAATGTCACAGCACGCATGTGGAAGTCAGAGGACTGTGTAGAAATTGAGTCTCAACTACCATTTGGGCCTCAGGAGATCTAATTCAGGTCATTACGCATGGTAGGAGGTGCCTCCTATTGTTGCTGTTTTAATTACATTTATTCATATCTATTTGCTGTGTGTGTCATGCATGCATCACTTTTAAAGATGGCTTGGAGCTTTTAAGGGTACTGTAAGCTATCTGCCTCACTGTCTTCATTTCAGTGGATGTATTTGTAGAAAAAACAATTCCAGACCAGAGTATTAAAAAATAATTTGCTTGTGCATGAAGTTCTGTTCAAGCTATTTTCACCTGTCGTTATTTGTAGGAGCATAAGGATGTAGCACATTTGAAAAAATGCTTTGCCAGCATATGTGACATCTTGGGTTCAGTCTCTGGAATTGTATAAAACTGGGCATGGTGGTTCATGTTGCCTTGGGACAGAAGGGTCTGGAGTTCAAGGTCATCCTTGTCCACATGTCAGAACACCATCCCCCATACATATATTGATGTTATGAGACAGGTCTCATTCTGTCGCTGTAGTTGGCCAGGAGCTCACTAGACTAGGCTGGATTCTATGTCAGTGATTCCCCTGCCCCTGCCTCCCAAATTCTGGGACTAAAGGTATATGTAACCATACATTTTAAAGTTAAAAACAGTATTTGTAGGAAGGACTGTTTGGTAGGTATTTCTTTGGTCCTTTTCAACGACTGTGTCTTAAAGAAGTTTGCCACTCATTCATTGATTTGAGCAATGGTGCGAGGGGAGTTTGTTTAGGGTAAATTACACAGGACAGCTGGGACTCGAGGGGTTAGTAAATAGTGTTCGATTATGAAGTGATGACTCTTATTTGGGTGTGAACACCTGGTCTTCGTGATAGAACTCAGTTGTATGCACAAAAGTAAGCTAACACTGACCACCCCCACCCCCATCCTACTTCCAGCTTTTTTCTGAAGGGCATTAAGTTACCGGATGAGAGAATACTACTGTGTGAGAAAGATAACACAGAAGATTTTTTTGCTGTTGTTTTAGCTGGGTGGTGGTGGTGCACGCCTCAGGAGGCAGATGCAGGTGATCAGACGCAGGAGGCAGATGCAGGAGTGAGTTAGAGGTCATTCTGGTCCACAGAGTGAGTTCTAGGACAGCCAACACAGAGAAACCCTGTGTTGAAAAACAACAAAACAAAACAAAATCTTTTTTTTTTTTCTTTACCTTTGCTGGCGAAGGAGAAGGCTCAGGATGGAGCCCGGGATCATTGTGCATGCTAGGCAGGCACGAGATAGACCTTCAGCACATACATGCTAGTCCTGTTTTGCTTTCCAAATTCCACTGAGAATCCATGACCTAAAAGACAGCCGTTTGGGCCAGTGTGATGGCTCAGCAGAGAAGGGCACTTGCCGACCTAACCTGACAGTATATTGAGTCCCCTGAGCCCAAAAGGCAGAAGGAGAGCTGGCATCCACAAGTTGTCCTCTGACTTGCGTGTGTGCTTAGCTTGCCCCATGTGCATGCAGTGTGGAGTGTAACCACTGGATTACTGAGCCTAAGCAAGGACATGCTGTGTAGTGGTTTGTAGATTTTCCAGAATTTGAAAATGTCTAAGAAATATGTGACATTTGAGTTATTTCCACTTTATGGAATTTGGAATAAATTTAGGATAAAATTCAGATCTGTCATCCTAAGTTGCCTTAAAACTTCACATATTATATATATATTATTAATTCAGTGTTCACTTGTACGTATATACTACTTATTCTGGTTTTTAACAGGTTTTGGTTTTATAGAATAATAGTTTTCATTTTAGAGGATTATAAAAAGATAAACATTAGTATTATATGACAAGTTAAACTCTAGACATGCTAGAGAAGAGGACAGGCCTTAGTTTCTGAGGAAATTCAGTAAGTTTTTATTGTACCATAGAATAAAAATAATGTATGCATGAAAAACATCATGTTTCTAAAATCTCTAGTTGTAATGAGTCTAAAAGACTTGCTACTAGGCCATACTTGTATCTAGGGTATTTCAGATCCCAGAATTTTCTTGATGGAAAATTTGTTCCTATTTTTTATATTCTAAAATCTGACTTTCTCCACTTTGATCAAGTAGATTTTTTTAAGCCAGTTGTTTTTGCTGTTTTACTTGAGGAAATCTGGGTGTTAAAATAGCAGCATGGAAGGTGTTGATAAGAACTATTCAAGGCTAAATGTGGGCAACAAAGCAGTGTAGACGTTTCTGCCATCGAGGGCTGGAAATGGCCCAGTGGATAAGAGCATTTGCTGCACACTCATGAGGACCTGAACCTCCAGCACTCACATTAAAAAGCTGGGCGTGGCCACTCAGGGATCTGTAATCCCAGCACCGTGGGATGGAGACAGGCTCCCTGTTCTCTGTTTCTAGCTTCTGTGAGAGGGCTTCCCCACAGGAATGAAGTGAAGAGTGATAGAACAGAACATCTGACCTTCTCTGTCCTGCATACTGTATGCACATACACTAAATAAACCAAACCCCCAGAAATTTCTGCTTTTGCGTTACTGAAGGCATTTTTCTTTCTGTTTTGTTGTTGCTTTGGTCTTGGATACTGGGGAATTCAAACTCCATCTGGTTTTCACACTACAGGGCATTTTATCTACCAAGCCATCTTCCCTTTAGGGGAATTTTATTTTAATATCACTAGGTATTTAGTTCTGCCAGTTTTTCATGTGTTACAGTTGCTCTGCTCTCTGTATGAACAAGTAACTGTCCGTGGTCTCATGCCCATGTTTACATGTATCCTCTCAGGAAGGACAGAGTGCAGGTCCCCCGCCCTTGATACCAGGCCTAGGGCAACAGGGAGCACAAGGCCGCATCCCTCCTCTGAACGCTGGACAAGGACCTGGCCCCAACAAAGGTAAATATGCACTTTTTTAGGAAGAGTTTTTTTTCTACTGCTGTCGTGTGCATTTTATAGTAAATAGTTTTGTTGCTAATTTTACAGTGGTATTGGAGCTGCTGGGAATTCTGCTTTGTCTTTTGTTGTCATAGGTAATGTTTCCTTAGGCAGTGATGCTGGCCAGAGAAAATGAGTTCCACACCACCAGAGACTGGTAGTGAAATCACTGAGCAACCTGGCATTTGTGTCTGTGCCTCGGGCCAGCCCAGCCCACACTGAATGGGGAGTAGATCTTGTGCCTGTGGGATGCAGGTCCATGCTTCCAGCCTTCCAAAGAGCAGAACTGCCTCTGCTTTAAGCTCCTTGATAGGGTAGAGAATGCAGGACCTTAACAGTGTTGTTATAATTATCCATCACCTTTGCCCATTGTACCATATTAGATTCTTAAACTGCATGTGTTGTTAGGCACCATTTGAAAAGAAGAAACCAATGTAATGATTATGAAAAGCAAAGGTGAGGACTGTCAGCATTTAGGGCATGTAGCAATTTGGAAGTTACTATTCAGTGATTGAGCTGTCAGTGAGCTCTTGCTGCCAGGTGGGCCAAGTTGGAGTAAAGGATAAGGGTTGGCAGGAGAAGCAGCATGGAAGAACTTGAGGGAATGTGAACAGAAGTGAGGTAGGAGTGGAGTGGTCTAGTTGGGCACCCATAGGAAAGACAATACAGTAGCACATGGGGCACTGTGGAGACTGTATGTCACAGTACTAAATAAATGCCTTTATTACTAACTGTCCAAGCCCACAGCACCATGTGGTACAGGTGTTTTTGTCCTATCCTGTTGGATTGAGAGAAGTCTTTGCCAGCACTTACAGCCCTTGGAATTTAAACATTTGAAGCTCAGGTTTGAATTTATGTGTGATATTAGAGGTAGGAAAGGGCAGGGAATCAGAGAGCTTTTATTTCCATCCCTGTTGCATAGAAATGGTAGCAGTAGATACACAGAAGGATTTGCAAGAGAGAAAGAAGATGGAGAGTTTTCTTGGAGGCTTGGGGTTTACCATTGGGAAGGGACTTTGTCATCCACTAGGTACTTTCACTAATGAATGAAGTGGCCTCTCCTGCCACACCTTCATGTATCTCCACTTGTTCCTGCTTGTCTTGCTCTCCCCTCTCTCTCCCCCTCTCCCTCTCTCCTTCCTCCTCCCTTCCCTCCCTGCTTCCTTTCCTCCCCTCTTTCTCCTAGGGACCAGAGGGAGAAGGGAGAGACATGCAAGTGACCTACCATCCCCTCCTGGATTAGTTGCCACCAACACAACATCACCGTTTGTAGTGGTAGGTTTCTTTCCTTGGAAGAAAGTAGACAGGCTACTTTTAAACAGAGATGGTGAGATGAGTTGTTCATAGGGTTAGAAGCAGAATATATGTAGTATCCTCAGGTGAGTTGTTACCTGTATCTCAAGTCACACTAAATTCTGACAGCCTGAAGTTGGACAAGCAGCTGTCTTGTTAGACTTAGAGTTGCTATTGCTGCGATAAGACATCATGACGAAAAAGCAACTTGGGGAGGAAAGGGTTTTTTCCGCCTTACCGCTTATGAGTCCATCCATCACCCAGGGAAGTCAGGCAGGAACCTAGAGGTGGGAGTTGATACAGAGGTCATGGAGGGGTGCTGCTTACTGGTTTGCTCTCATAGCCTGCTGTCTTATACAGCCTAGGACCTCTAGCCCAGGGCTGACAGCTTGTGCACTGAACTGCATCCTCCTATATTGATTACTAGTCAAGCACCACAGGCTTACCCTACAGACCAGTCAGTCTAGTAGGAACTTTTCTCAATTGAGATTCCCTCTTTCAGAATGACTCTAGCTTGTGTCAGGTTGACAGAAAACTAGCCAGTAGAGCTGGAAGAACACTTGAGTATTGAGGGCTTGTCTCTTAGGGGAGGTGGATTCCCAAAGAAAGGCTACATAAGCTCAAGTGCAGAGAGACTTTCTGACATCACAGTTTTACGCTGAGATTTCCAAGTTTTGATCCACGCTGAGAGGAAAGGAGGAGTTAAAGTGGCTGGGGAAGTGCAAAGAAATGAAAGGTGGGAGTCGTGGATGGGGACTAGAAATTTCAATTGACTAGGACCAGAAGGTTGTTGTCTTACTGATAAGAAACAGTAACAGACAGCATAAGCTGGGTGAGTGGAGGGACTGATTGCATTTTCAAACGTTGTTTTAAAAGCAGGAGTGTGTTTGTATTTCCTTCTTAGTTATTTATATGCAGGGTGGAGGGTTATTTTGAGATAAGGCCTTGCTACAAAGTACTGGCCAGCAACCTTGAACTCTTTGTAATCTTCTTTCCTTGGCCTCCTGAGTGCTGAGATCACATGGACTTACCACCATGCCTTGCTTATACCTTCCTTAAAAATCGGTTTAAATGTTGACAGAGAATAGTTGTGTGCTTGCAGTGGCTACAGTAGTTTGGTTAGTAGCTGTCAAACAGTCCATTGCATATATACTCAGATATTTTTTAAAGTCTCAAATGAAATTCCTGTCCGTAAAAACAAATTGCTAATGATACCACCATATTTGAGGCACATCATTTTGAGAAAGAGCAAAAAAGGTGTAAACACAAATCCCAAGGTTGAAGGGCAGCAGGACTCTCTAGTTCTCAAGCAATTGTTAGAGAGGCCAATGGTTCCATAAGCCTAATGGAAAAATGTGTTTTGAGTCCTAAAATAGGCCAAAGGATGGATAGTGGGTGTCAGCAATGTAGACCCAGTGCCTGTGATGGCTTTGTGGCTTATACATGAGCAGAGGTGTGCGTTCATATGCGACTGTGTGTGTGTCTGTGCATGTACAAAGTTTGTTTTTATTTTTGAGACAGAATCTCACTATATATCCCTGGCTGTTCTGAAACTTACTCTGTAGACCAGGCCAGCCTCAAACTCGTTGAGAAGCCCATCTTCCTTTGCTTCCCAAGTGCATGTGCCACTACACCTGGCTGAGGTGAAATTCTTCATAACACAGCCTCCTAGCTTTCAGCTTCCCAGCCTGTAGTCTGACTTCTCTGTTGTGTCTTTTGGGTATCAATCCATTGATCAAAATAAAGTCATAGGAGGAACAGCAGCAAAGCAGGAAAGGCCATTCTCATGCCAAGAAGCTTGCTTATGTTTTTAACTTATGACTGAGAAGTGGATACTCCCTAGAGATTAGTGATTATTCATAGGTCAAGTTACAAAGCTGAAAGTTGTACCCCCAAAACCAGTGGTTTCCCCATTATATGATGTTTTGGGATGTTTATCTTTTAAGTGTACCAAGAACCCAGGAGGAGACCATTATAGGGTAAAGTGCATCCCGAAATTGGCAGGGATTATAGAGAAGGCCTGTACAGCAGGCCTCAAGAAAGCCACAGTAACAGTCAGTGTTATTTCTTGTAGGTGACTCTCGAGGCCCTCCCAACCATCACCTGGGTCCCATGTCAGAGAGGCGGCATGAGCAGAGCGGTGGCCCTGAGCATGGACCAGAGAGAGGCCCTTTCAGGGGTGGCCAGGACTGCAGGGGACCTCCTGACAGGCGTGGCTCTCACCCTGATTTTCCCGACGACTTCAGCAGACCAGACGACTTCCATCCTGACAAGCGCTTTGGCCACCGGTTACGGGAATTTGAGGGACGAGGAGGACCCTTACCACAGGAAGAGAAATGGAGGCGAGGGGGCCCCGGACCTCCCTTTCCACCTGATCACAGGGAATTTAGTGAGGGGGATGGCCGGGGTGCAGCCCGAGGCCCTCCAGGGGCATGGGAAGGCCGAAGACCTGGAGATGAACGGTTTCCCCGGGATCCTGATGACCCACGTTTTCGAGGGCGCAGGGAAGAAAGGTATGAAAGTGTATTCTGTGAGTTCTCTGCATTTGCCCTGTCCTCACTAAAAAGGTCTTTTTTCTTTCCTTGGGGAAAGTATTGTGTTGATTTAGCCCTTGCTTCTGTGGGTTAGCATTTAGACTTTGAAAGTTGTTATATGTAGTTCTCTACGATCTTTACAATTGAGCCCTTTTTCTTTGAAGTTATTTGTTCTGATACAGTGCAGGCTATCCTTGAATTCCCGGTCCTTTCTTTGCCTCCTGAGAGGTGTGCACCACTATTCCTGGCTAACTTTTCTGAGTCATTTTAAAGAGACAGGAGACTCTCTATGCTCAGAGAGTGTCTTGAGTCTTTTTTGCAGTGTCCAGGCTCACCTTAGATTATGAGATCTGAGCCAGATACTGTAATTGAAAATAAAAGGCTTGTAAATGGTTTCAGATTTAGGGGAATTGCTGAAAGGTCTTAACAAAATTAGATCAAAGAATAGACGCCATGTGAAGGAAGAAAAACACGAATTAGTTTAAATGATACTGAGCATAACTAGTGATAGTGTGACCGAGTGTATAAGAACTCACTTCCGTATAATACTCACTGATTTCTTGAGTCTGCATATTGTATAGACTTCACATTTTGTTGTGTCTTCATTTATACTTTTGTCCACCCATGACAGAGTTTCAGCCTAGACTCATGTGCTGTCATACATTTGTGCTACTCTCTGTGCTTTCCCCTCCATCTGGAACAACACTGCAGAAAGCTATGGCTCACGCCGTGTGTGTTGCGTATGTACATGTTTGTGTGGGTGCACATGTGTGGAGGGCTGGGGTTGAATCATCTATCAGTCTTGCCTCTGTCTTTTTTGAGACGCTGTCTCTTATACTGAACAGTTCAGACAAGCTGGCTGGCTGGCTAGCTGCTGGGATCTTTTTGTGTCTGTGTCCCCAGGGCTGAAGTTATAGGCACATAATGCTGTACCCTCACTTGCATATGTGTGTTGTGGATATGAACTCAGATCCTCATGCTTGTGTGGCAGTGGCTTTTCTGGAGCCATTTCCTCAGCTCCAGAAAGCTATTATATTGTATTGTATCATGTATTTGAGAGAGGGTCTCACCATGTATCCCAGGCTGGCCTGGAACTGACAGATGCACCAGCCTCTGCTCCCAAATGCTGGCATTAAAAAGAGTACACCACCATGCAGCTAGACCATATTGTTTAGGAAGTAATGACAGTAATGAGCAAACGTCTATATAAAATGTCAGTACAGGATTGGAGAGGTGAAAGTACATTCCATGCAAGCTTTCCAACCTGAGTTTGGATCCCTGGAACTCATGTAAGTAAAAAGCCAGATCTGTAATTCCATTACTCCTATGGCAAGATAGGAGACAGAAACAGGAGAATTTCCTGGAAGGTTGAGGGCCAGATAGCCTGAGATATGTAGAGGGGCAGAAATAGAAGAGAGATCCTGCCTGAACAAGATGGAAAGTTACTCAGTCATCTCCACACACACACATTGGGGCATGTATATGCCTACATTCATATACCCACACACGATTATTTTTTTAAAAAAGTTTAGAGTAGACTTGGCCCTGAACTCCAGCTCCCTCACCCCAAATTTCTGTGATTACAGGCATGTGGCACTTCACCTAACTTCTGACAAACTTTTTTGTTTGTTTGTTTTGATTAACTGACAAACTTTTTAAAATTTTTGTATTATTCTGGGAAGTAGTGATGAGTGCCTTTAATCCCAGCACTTGAGAGGTAGAAGCAGGCCTCTGAGTTCGAGGCCAGCCTGATATACAGAGTGAATTCCAGGAAAACCTGGGCTACACAGAGAAGCCCTGTTTTAGAAAACCAAAACTAAAACAAAACCAACCAAACAAAAAAAAACCCAACCTCCAAAACATTATATTATATTTCTTTATTCTGTGTGTGTCTTTCCTATGTGGTATGTGCATTATGAGTGTAGGTATCCTATGAAGCAAGGAGAATGTGCTAGATCCCACAGAGCTGCAGTTACAGTGTTGTGAACTGCTTGATGAGGGTGCTGGCATCTGAATTTAGATCATCAGGAAGAGCAGTGCACACTCTACCACAGAGCCATCTCTTCTGATGTGTTTATCTTTTTGTGTGTGGCATATGCTATGGCGTGCAAGTCAGGGGACAACTTGTAGTAGTCAGTTCTCTCTACCATGTGGGCCCTGGGAATGGTCCTCAGGGTGTCAGGCTTGGCAGCAAATGCTTTTACTGCTGAGCTATCTCAGTAGCCAAGACCCTCCCCCCCCGACACACAAAAAAGTTTGTATGCTTACCTGAATATATATATCATCTGCTTGCCTAGTGCCCATGGAGGACAGAAGAGGGTATTGGTTATCCTGGAACTGGAATTATAATGATTGTGAGCTGCCATGTAGGCGCTGGGAAACAATCCTGGGTCCTCTATAAAGCAGCAAGTCATCCTAATCACTGAGCCATCTCTCCAGCCCTGTTCTCTTTTGAAGTCACATCTCATGTATCCTAGGCTGTTCTCAAACTTTCTATTTAACCCAAGGTTTAACCTTGAACTCATGTTCCTTTTCGCTCCACCTCCCAAGTTCAGAAATTCCTGATGCATGCCATCATGTTTGGCTATATTTATTTATTGCTTATATTGCTTGCGAGCACATCAATTTCCTGTTGTCTCCTTAGGACCTAGAGTGGTTGCTGTTAAACTGGGGAGGGGTTTTAGAGTTATCAGTTGATTAAAAGATACCTTAATATTTGATCAGGCTCTCATAACAAAAATTGGGGAGCTTAAAAGCAGGAATTTATTTTCTACAGTTATGGAGACTGGAAGCCTAGAGCAGAGCCCTTTAGCATTAGTTGATGGTGAGGCCCTTTCTCATGTTGCAAGTTTATGTTTCTTCGCATGTATGTCTGTGTGGGTATGAGTGTGGGAGTGGGGTGGGGTGAGTAGTGGAACTTTGTTCTGTTTGTTCTGTTTCTCTTTCCTAATCTCATTACCTGGTTCTACCTTCATGTTCTCATAATATCCTCCTTGTTTACCTTCAAGAGTATGGTACACCGATCTTTACCATATAAGGTATATATACCCTATATTGTACCACATAGGTATTAGAACTTCAACACAGGAATTTAGGGGGACATAAGCAGTCCATACCAGTAGATATTTTCTAATAAAGGCAAAGAAGACTCCATTTGTACCTAGGGCATTGGTACAGCTTGGGCGTAGAGAAAAACATGTTGAGTTTTGGTAAACAGCATTCCTGTAGAGGCTGTCCTGGCCTACTCATGCCTCTTGGTGTAGTCCTCTTCGGACCCAGGTTTGCTGTACTGACAGCAAAGATGCTTTGGTTATGTCACTGAGGAAGAAATCAATTAAGAGGGAGCTAGAGAGCAAACTGACCCATGCTTGGTGTCTTAGTGCTCTGTTGCTCTGAAGAGATGTTGTGACCAAGGCACCTCTTACAAAAGAAAGTGTTTAAGGGGACGTGTTCACAGTTTTAGGGGTTTGTCAATGCTCATCATGGAGGGAAGCTGACAGACATGGCAGTAGACTGGGATCAGTGTGGGGAGGAGAAGAGAGGGACAGACATTGAGACTCAGACTCTACCTGGCATGAACATTTGAAACCTGAAAACCCGCTCCCAGTGAAACACCCCTTTCCCATACAGTTCCACTAACTGGAGACCAAGCAATCAAATGTGGACATATGGGGTCCATTTTCATTCAGACTTTCACACTCTGACCCATTGCCCATTTGTTTAGCACTTATGGCCAGTGGAGGTGCTGTTATGCATTTCAACTATGTATGTCAAAAAAAGTTCGTCATAAAAAAATACAGCAGAGTTGGGTGGGTGTAGTGACAAAGAAAGGGAGGAAGGAAGGAAAGAACGAACCAATTCTAATATAATGGTTGTTGAGGGAGAAATGAACAAAAGAATACATGAAAATCTTTAGTATGTTCCTATAAAGCTTAAGTAACCAACATTCTGTTATATTGTTGCCTTCCTGTATGTTTTGACACTGTAAAGTGAATACTTTAAGGAGGATCTCTGAGTTCTAGGCTAGCCTGGTCTACAGAGTGAGTTCCAGGACAGCCAGGACTACACAGAGAAAATGCTTTTCTCCCTATTTACATTGTTCATTAAAGTTTCCTGTCAACCTTTCTCCATATTTAAGAGTAATATTTTCCAAAAGGTAGACATTCTGTTTTTGTTTTCAGCTTTAGAAGAGGAAATCCCCCAAGACACGAAGGGCGTGCTCCCCCAAGAGGGAGGGACAACTTTCCTGGTCCTGATGACTTTGGTCCAGAAGAGGTTTTTGATGCTTCCGATGAAGCAGCCCGAGGACGGGATCTCAGAGGGCGTGGCCGTGGCACCCCTCGAGGTGAGAAGTATTGAGAACAGCTGGTTTGAGGGACAAGCAGCCTTGAGCAAAGCTGGGCGGTGTGTGAGCACGGTTTGTTTGCTCCTCTGTGTAGGGGGATCCAGGAAGTGCTTACTACCCACTCCTGATGAGTTCCCTCGATTTGAAGGAGGACGGAAGCCAGACTCCTGGGATGGAAACCGAGAGCCGGGTAAGGAGGGAGACATGCTTGTGGTTTGGTAGTTCACAGAGTGGGAGCCCATCTCCAGGTTCTGTCTTTTCTAGTTTGACTCCATGGAGTTTTGGGTTTTTTGGTTTGCTTGTTTGTTTGTTTGTTTGTTTTGGTTTGGTTTTGAGACAAGGCTTCTCTGGATTGCTATGTAGACCAGGCTGGCCTTGAACTCATAGAAATCCACCTGCCTCTGTCTCCTGGGATTACAGGTGTACACCATTATTCCTGTTTTTATGTTTGCTTGTTTTTTTTTGTTTTGTTTTTCAAGATAGTAAAGGAATTGGAATTTGTGTTGAGTATAGAACAATGTCACTCTTAGATTAGGGAGATGTCTTATTAATATATTTGCCATGTAAGCATGAAGACAAGGGTTTGAATTCTCAGCCATGCATGCTAGTGGCGTCTGTAATTCCACACTGAAGAGACAGACAGGAGAATCCCAAGAATTCACTGACCAGCCTATTTAGTCAAATTGGTGTTCGTTAGGTTCCACACAAGTTCCTTTCTCATTAAAGTTGTGAGGCCAGAGGTAGTGGCATACACCTTTAACCTAGCACTTGGGAGGCAGAGGTAATCGAGTTTGAGGCCAGCTGGAGCTACATAGTTAAGACCCTGTCTTTGGGGGGGGGGCGGGGAAATGCAAAAAATAGAGACCTGAAGAAGACACTTCATATTGTTCTCTGGCTTCCACACATACTAGTACATACACAAATAATACCACTCTTTTTACTAAATTATCTATTTGGAAAATAAGAATAAAAGAATTAGAATTTTCATCTTAACTGATGATACCATAAACATTAGTAGATGTGATTTTTTGTTAGTGGACTCTTTGCAGTCTTCAGTTAATTTTTTTTTTGTATGTATATATGAGCAATGTATGTATGTCTGTATGTTCACATGTGTAGGCTTACATGTGTACAGGTGGGTATGCGTGTGTGTGTGTGTGTGTGTGTGTGTGTGTGTGTGTGTGTGTGTGTGTGTATGGAAGCCAGAAGCTGACCTTCTGTGGTGGCTGGCTCTCTTCTATATTGAAGCAGGGCTTCTCATTTGAGTCAGGAGCCTGCTGATCTGGCTAGTCTAGCTGGCCAGCTTGTCCCTGGGATCTTAATGCACATTTAGCTTTTATGTGGGTGCTGCGAATCTGAATTCTAGTCCTCATACTTGCACAGCAAGTGCTTTCCCCATTGATCCAACTCTCTAGCCCCATCCTCAATAACTGTAAAGATTGCGACCATAACACGAGTCTAAGACAACTGAGAACATGTGCGTACACCTGCCTCCTTATATTCTAGTGAGAGGCTCTTCCTTTCACATCCACGCAGTGATACACACCTGACCTGTTAAATGGACATTCCTGCTCTCAGTTCTCAGGTTGCTCTGAGTGGCATCGCTCCGGTTGCTTTGGTCTGCACTGTTTGACTGCAGTGAGTGTCAAGCCTTGAAAACACAGAACTTTGGCTCTCGTTTCAGGACCAGGTCATGAACATTTTCGTGATGCTCCCCGCCCTGATCATCCCCCTCACGATGGCCATTCACCAGCTAGCAGAGAGCGCTCCTCTTCTCTCCAAGGCATGGACATGGCCTCCCTACCACCCCGGAAGCGCCCCTGGCATGATGGGTCAGGCACTTCTGAACACAGAGAGATGGAGCCCCAAGGAGGCCCCTCGGAGGACCGGGGAAGCAAAGGTAGGAGGACAGCAGTCCAGGTCCCAGAGCTGCACGGGTCTGCCACTTACGTCCTGAGCCCCCAAGGCTGCCTCCCCTCTGCCTCTGACCTTAGTTTGGGCAGACATTGAAGCTCTTATACTTAGTGAGTGCGAGTGTAGCTTTTTTGGGTCCTTTCCACTGCTGGGTGGAGCTGCAGACTCACTCAGCAGAATTCTCAGCTGTTTTCTTCAGTGTTCCTACCCTACTTGCTTAGCTGGTCCCACTGGCAGTTGTAATATGCAGCCAGTGGCTATTTGGAGCCCTGAAGGTTATCTGTCCTCTTGGGGAAGGGAACGCTATCTTCTCCCAGTTGCTGTACTGTACTTTTTGGCCTGAGCCCGGGAGGAGCATCACTGGCACTTTAAGTAGGAGCAGTAGCAGCCAGTGACTGCTGACTACAAGTCTGGCTTCAGTTTGGGCTGGGCAGTGGCCTGTGTCAAATGCTTTCGATGTCCCATCTTGTTCACTTGCTGTCTATGGAGTCTTCCCAGAAAAGACTAGTGCATATGTAGTCCATCTCCCTCCCTGCTTAAACAGCACTGCTCAGTATGCTATGGTCCTGGATGAATTTGTTCATGGGCAGTCAGGATGCCCTGGCCAGACATGTGGCTAGCATGACAACTACGTACTAGCTGACAGCTCTGCTCAGGCTACCCTAGGTTAGCTTAAGATGCTTTGCATGATGATAAGCCACATTTCCTGCCTGGCAAGTTCCCCTAACATCTTCATCTCCATTGGATGCAATAGTAGTGTTGCAAGAACATGCTCTAGGAGATGAACCAATCATATTTCACAAGAAAAACGTACTATTTACATTTTCATTTACTTTGCAGTGAATGCTGGGAATCAAACCCAGGATCTTGGCACATAGTAGACAAAGCACTGTACCATTGAGCTCAAGAAGAAAAAAGAAAGAACTGTATTTATTCTTTGGTAGTTTAAAACACAGTATATTTAGATCAACTCATCCCAGATCTATTGACGCCCAGGGCTCCCTCCCAATTTAATAAATCTTCTGGTTGTTTGTATAGCCCACTGAATTCAGTTAGCACTATTCATATGTGCGTGGGTGGAGGAGGGGGCCCTCCATTGGAGTGTGACCAACTGTCCTGGGGTACACCACTGAAGAAAGCTCACTTTCTCTCCCCAGGAAGCTTCTTTTACACTTTTCCAAATTGTATTTACTTTGTATGTTTGTGTGTGGGAGCCACGGTGCACATGCAGAGGTTACAGGACAACTTGCCCGAGTTGGTCCTCTCCTGTCTTGTCCTGGGCATGGAACTTGGGCTGCTGAGTTTGGTAGCAAGTGCTTGTACCTGCTGAGGCATCTCACTGGCCTAAGGAAGGGTTTTAAGACAATTTTACTTGTAGCTAAACATCTACTATCTTAAGTCTGAAGTAAGTTAAAGTTAGAAAATCTTTGAGAGCCAGTTTATCTTTGTTCATTGAGAATATTTCACATCACTAAAGGTGAAGGAAGCCTTATATCATGAGCTATAAACACAGATCCTAAGTGGAGCCCTTGTTGTTAACAGCTGCAGCAGCCTGTGGATCTTAGTTGCTTCCAAAGTTAGCAGATGCTTTTGAAATCTTCTCTTAAAGTACTTTGGTAGCACAGGAGAGAAAAAACATGTTCCACTGTGCTGCAGGTTTCTGGGGATTCTTAGTGTTTGCTGGCTTCCAGTCCTCTGTCAAACAGCCCTGGGGTGTGTATGGCCCCCGGAGATATAGAAGGCTGAGGCCATGAGCCAGGGTGGTAAAGATGAGGTCAGAAAGGAGCAGAGGAACCCACTTCATTGCTCTTGGAGGGACCTACACACAATGGAGTGCTCCTTCCTAACACACCCAAACAACTATTTTCACAGATCCTTTATTAAATGGGAAGGAAAGTAAAGTGGCTGATTTCCGACTTAGGAAGAAAACCAGCAGCAAATGACCTTGCAGATATTTTTTTTAAGAGGAAAGAAAGAAAAAAAAAAAAAGAGGAAGGCTGTGTTCAAAATGACTAGGATGGTGTGGAATGTTTTGATTGGGCTTTTGGTTGCTAGACTCCAACACTTTGAAAGCTGGACCTTGGTAGGCAGCCTCAGAAGAGGAAGTGGCCAACCAACTAATGGAATAGACCTTGGTGTCCAGCCTTAGCAATGTAATGTAATGGTTTTTAGCAAGACAGAGGGAATGGGGAAAGGGCAAGGCCTGCCAGAGCCATGTTTGCCATGCTCAGGCTGGCTAGAGCCTTGTCAGCTCTGAACACCATTGTTTTATCTCCCTAGGACCTCCTGTTGCTCCACTGTCCTCAGGGAGAGAGAGTTGTACCAGGAATTCCTGGAAAGCAAATGCTGTGATACATAAAGTCATCTCTTGATTCACATTTTGTTTTAGGCCGAGGGGGCCCAGGACCTTCCCAGAGAGTGCCAAAATCCGGGCGTTCCAGCTCTTTGGATGGAGACCATCATGATGGATACCACAGAGATGAACCTTTTGGTGGCCCTCCAGGCAGCAGCTCGTCTTCTCGAGGAGGCCGGAGCGGCAGTAACTGGGGTAGAGGGAGTAACATGAACTCTGGCCCTCCCAGGAGAGGCTCTTCAAGGGGTACTGGGAGGGGTCGGTAGGAGGAGAGCTGAGTAGCCCTTGGCCTCTCTGGATAGTATTTAAGAAGTTCTTGTGGTGGACTTACTACGCGAAGCAAAAACAAGCCTTTACCACTGAAGCCCTGAACTCTTCTTCCGGGGCAGCTGAGTTCAAGGAGCCCGTGTTTGAGATGAAGAGACTGCTGCCAACTCCCCAGGGTAGTTGGCCCTGTTTTGTCTTGTCCACCCTCGTTGCCCTAACTCTCCCATGTTGTTTGTGAAGATAAAAGCTGGAATCCTTTTTTTTTTTTTTAAGTGTCATGAGAAATGGAGCACCTCCACAAAGTTAAGTTCATGTCCAATTGGAAATTTCTATATGTACAGTTTGTCAGAGGAAAAAAAAAAACCTTGTTTTGTATGAATACAGAATGTGATTTACTCAAGAATTAACAGAAACAACTGGTTGTGTAGTGCTCGCGGAGGGAGTGCATGGTTTTTGTGCATCCAACCTGGTGAGAGTGCACTTACTACTGTCACGACAGATGACGTTCAGTTGTCAACTCTGTGCTTTTCAAATAATTTTTATCTTTCTGTTACACTGTTTTTGTTATGCAATAAGGAATACTTTAAAAATTGCTCTGACGTAGTTCAAGAAGGCTCAAAACCTCAGACATGCTCTACAGGGTGAAAATTTACATTGTTGAGAAACAAATCTTCTGGGTGTTCAACTAGAGGCTCTCCCTTGGATGCATCTCCTGGCAGTTTAGGTTTGAATGGTCTTGTCTTCATTGGGAGAGAAACCAGGTGTAAATGACTTAACCACATGTATCTTATCATGCAATTCAAAGGAAGTGGAACAAAGTTATATACGTTTTGGAAAACAATCTCCTCTTCCACATTCACTTTGTAGAGATTTCAAGATTGAAGGTAGAAGATAGCATTAGCCAGAAAGTTCTTTGATGTGACAAATTTCTTCCTTTAAAAAAAAATAAAATAAAATGCTGGGTGTGGAGGCAAAGGCAAGCACGTCTCTAAGCTCAGCCTAGTCTACAGAGGGAGTTCCAAGACAGCCTTGTTTACACAGAGAAACCCTGTCTCAACCCCTCTCCCCCAAGGAAAGGCAAAGATAGGGCCTAGAGAGATGGCTCAGCAGTTAAGAGCACATATAGAGGCTGGAACTCAACTCCTAGCTCTTACACACGCACATCCTCTTTTTTAAAAATACCCATCTATAAACTAGCATTTGGGAGGTGGATCCAGGAGGATCAGAAGTTCATTGCCATCCTTGACTACAAAGTAATTTTCAGGGCAACTTGGGATACCTGAGACCTTGTCTCACTACCTCCCTCTCAAAACCCCCGAAAGGCTCAGGTTGAAAAGTCAATTTTTCAGTTTGAGATACCCCTTCCGATGCTGCCTTCTTCCTTTTTTTTCTTTCTTTCTTGAATGGATGTTTTGCCTGTGTTCATGCCTGTGTACCAATTGTGTGACTGGTGTCTGTGGAGACCAGTAAAGACTGTTAGATCCCTTGGCACTGGAGTTACAGACAGCTGTAAACCACTACATGGATGCTAGGAACTGAATCTGTGTCTTCCAGATGAGCAGCTAGTGCTCTTAACCACTGAGTGGTCTCTCTACCCTGACCACTGGTCTTTCTAAGAAAGGTCACTCCTGGAGCTGCTAACCTCTCCTTGCATTACCAGCGTTTTGGCCCATGAAGACAGGTTTACTGGCAATTTGAGTGGTTCTGGACATCTCTGGTTGCTTAGAAAAGACATACTGACACAGTTGGTCAGTGCACAGAACTCTTCCCTAGCTCTCTGTGGGTATGGAGTGAAGAAATGTTGATTGTTTGGGTGCTAGAATCTGAAGATTTCAAGTTAACAATTTCCTTCTTAATTCAAAAATAAAAATGTCAGCACCCACACTATTAGAAGCTGTATTCCTCCTCACTTGAATTCTGGCATAACATAAAAACAACTTACAATCAAGCTCCATGAAGCTATGAAGGAGACCTGAGACTATCCAGCTCATATTTTGAGAATGAATTTATTAACAGAACCTCTACATTAGACATTAAATATCTATAAACACTACTGTCAAAATATAAGGTATTGTGCTTAGAATTTTATAAAACTTATTTTCAAGTAATGGATTCTTGACAATGTTGGAAACAGAATTTTAATATCTTGAATACAGTAACATAAAACGTGCATGTCACTACTTGAAAATAGCACTCCTTTCCTGAAAGAGGTAGGCAGCTCTATTTACTGTCTGGGGAGCACAGCAAACCGGATTAACAGGGAGTAGTAAAGAGGGTGGTGTCTTGGGAGCCTATGAAGTTGAAATGTTGGCCACTGTGGCATCACATCACTGGGGACTGAGGAAGCAGCAGTTGGCTACTGTCTGACCTATCCTGCTAAGGCAACATTGGAGCAGTTTGGAAAACAACTTTTACATTGTACAAGCTGCTGCACAGATGTGGTTCTCAGCCTCAGCTGAACGTAAAAACACCTGGTGTGGTTTTAGATTATATATGTAACATATATTTCAATAATATATATTATTTATAATACACATAGTTCTATAATATGTAATATATGCAGCACTTCTCATATATAAAAATGTCCGGACCCATCCACAGGTATCATAAATGAACTGATAAAATGTGCTTCTCACATACTCTGGATGTGCCAGTCTAGTGTGAGAACCACTGGTGTATAATTATAAGCTGTTAAATATACTTTACTTTCTAGTGCACCAAGAGTCAATACTGAGAACCCAGGTTTTGTCAATAAAGTACGATACCTTTAGATGCTGATTTCACCCCAACACCACAAAAACAAAAGTACCTGCTGAACCTCGGAAATACAGCAATTATACATTACATTAGTATTGAATTGTGTAGTACTTTGAAAAGCAGCAACGTTAGGAATCATGAAAACTTGGCAAAACCTATCTATAATAATTATGTTAACTGCAGATATAAAGATATAAAAATGTTTGTCTCCCAGGATTCCTTAGGGAATCGTTTGCAGAAGCCTTTGCAAACGTTGCCACGCATCATACTGGATATCTGGCTTCTTGATTCAGAATATTGCTCTTTGGTGTGTTGTTTTTACGATTAATTTTCCTTAAATGTTATAAAGCACCATATTTACTAAAGAAAAAAAAAAAAAAACATGAGGTAGTATTAACTAATCAGTTTTAAATCCAGTGGCTAAATTTAGTGTTTAATCTGATAATCTGGCTTGATTTACAGTGAATAGGAATGAGGCTTCGAAAAACTGCAGTAAAACCGAAACCTTACTGCATTTCTTTAAACGACAAAAGGGAGAATGTAGTTCTTCCAAAAGCAGCCAAGTCAGAAAGCTATTCATGTCTTTTGACCTCTTAACCTGACGTCCAAGTAAAGCCAGTTAGTACGAAAGCAGCTCACTGGCAGCCTTCTCCACAGCACAGTTAGCAGGCACAATCACGTCTTCGCGGGCCCCATGCTGCCCAGAACGGAAGAAGCCTAAGGATCTTCTGACCCAGCCCCGTGCGTCTGCTGGTGACAGCCGCTCCGAGCTCACGGACTCCGCCGCGCGGTCCTGTCGGCAGCGTGGAGCGTGGGTGGCCGTGCTCGCACGCACCGTCTCTAGCCGCCCCGGCTCCGCTTCCTCCAGACGGGGGACCGTCACACCGGGAGCGCGCCGGCCAGGCCGGCCCCGCGGTTCAGGCGGCCGAGCGCCAGGCGCAGCGCCGTGCCGCCGCCCCAGGGCAGCAGCCCCAGCAGCGCGCGCAGCAGGACGGCCAGCTGCGCGCAGGCGCCGAGCGCCGTCAGCGGCGTGCTGCGCAGGGCCAGCGCGGCGTAGAGCGTGCCCCCCAGGGCGGCCGCGTAGCCCAGGGCGCCCGGCGACGGCGCCTCCTCGCAGCGCAGCAGGCGCCCGCACGCCGCGCCGCCCCTCAGCAGCGCCGCGCCCGCCAGCGCCAGCACGGAGCCCAGCGACCAGAGGAGCGCGAACTTGCGGGCGCGCAGCAGCAGCAGCGGCGCGTAGAGCGCCGCCAGGCCGAAGCAGAGCGCCGCCAGCAGCAGGCACAGCCCGCCCGCCGCCAGGCGCTGCCCGCGGCTCACGTTTGGGATGCAGCTCGCGCCCGCGGGCGGCGGCTCCGTGGGGCTCGCAGCCCACGGCCATCGCAGAGCCGTGCGGCCTAGCCATGCCCCGGCCGCGGGCTCTTCTGCTGCCCTCGCGGCGAGCAGCGGCTCGGCGGCCGCCGTCCTGCCCGCTTTGCCCTGCGTCAGGTAGTCTTGCAGTTGGCGGTGGAGGTCCGCCATCTCGGACGCGGTGGCGGTGCTCACGGGCCCGGCACTTCCGCGATCTGGCCCCCGCGGCCGGAAGCAGCCAGCTCCGGCGGCGGTTGGTCGGCCGCGGCGGAAGGGTGGTGTCCAAGGCTTTGCGGAAGACCCGGAGAAGGCTGTACAGCTGTTGTATGCTCCCCCACATCCTGATTTTATGCTTTAGTCGCCGAGTGAGTCCTGTCAGCATTAAAAGATAGTTGAGAGTAGTGGCTGTAGCAATAAAAGGATGCACTAGGGATAGCTTTGCTGACAATACTGTCGGGTGTCTAACACTGCCAAATGGAAGAATCTGGGGAAAGGGTAAACAATTTCATTTCCTTTTTCCTCCTTCTCTTCTTTCTTTCCTACCTTTCTTTTTTAAATTTCTCTCTTTAAAAGTGTCTACAGTTACCTCAGTTCTAATGAAGAAGGTGGAGAGAGGAATCAGCGGTTAAGAGCACTTGCTGCTCTTGCAGAGGACCCAGGTACAGATACCAGCACCCGCAGGCCAGCTAGCAAGAACCTATAACGTAGGTTCCCGGAAATCTGACTCCCTCTTCTAGCTTCCACTGACGCTGTAGGCATGTATGTGGTACATGTTCAAACATGCAGGCAGATCACCCATAGACATAAAAAAATTTTTTTTTACTTTAAAAATTCACACCTATAGAGTTTAGGTTATCTTCTTTGAAAGAGTTGGTAATGGGCTAATTCCAGTCCCCAACCAGCCCACTCTTCTGGTTTCCATTTGTTTTGTTTTTTAATTATTACCTCTTTTATCTTTGGACTTTACATTGTTTATCCCTTCTCTTCCCTCCAAATACATATAGCTCTCCTTACTCTCTTTCAAATTAATTAGCTCTTTTTTTCATTAATTGTTTTTACATGCATATATGTATATAATGCCTGCAATATATATGTGTGTGTATATATAATTTCCAAATATAACCTGCTGAACCTGTATAATGTTACTTGTATGTTTTCAGAGCTGACCAATTGGATAACCAGTTGGCATGCTTTTCCCTGGGGAAGGCTGTTTCTCCCACTCGGCATTCCTTAACTATTTGTAGTTCTTTGTATAGGGTTGATATCTCCTGATCTTTCCCCATCTACTTTAGCCTATCTCTCGCTCTTGTTCAGGTCATGTTTAAGCAGTCAGTCATGTTGGTGAGATGTTATGGGTGTGTAGCTTCAGATATTTCTAAGGAGCAGAGTCTCAACAGCAAACTCCCCGATTCTCTGGCTCTTTTAATCTCTCTGCTTCCTTTCCTGCAATGTTCCCTGTGTGTGATGGTTTCCATTTCTTGACTCTGTCCAGTCCAAGATGTGCAAATGCATCTCTCATATGTCTTTGGTTTACCTTTTCCATGACCTGGAGGCATTATTTTGACTCCTCAATCAAGAATACTGACAAACTCATGACATTCTGGTCCGTTCCCTATTTTCTGAGCTAGCTTGTGTGTAGCATTCTCTCTCATACACACCTTTCTGGAGACATACCTGCCTATGACTCCTCACAGGCCACACCACCAGGATTCCCAGGACTTCTGCTTCCTCCTGCTACTACTTTGCATGCTTTTTCTGTGTTCTGCTAGTCTGAATTGTGACAGTTTACATTGTGAGCCACTGTTTTAGGGCAGGGTCTTTCTTGTGACCTCTTTTCTAAGGCCCAGCAAGCCAGGTGAATCAGCACAGCTGTCTTCCAGTGCAGTAAATGTGCTTAAAGACTTGGTAGATGTCCCTGAAGCCATTGGTAGAAAGCTACAGCCAAGTTGCTGGAGTATAGATGGCTGTTGAGAATTTAGGATGTTGCCATGTAGAGGTCCTTTGTGTGAAAATTAACGTGCTTGTTCTATCGTAACAAATTCAAGAGATGAGTGAGGCGGGTGCAGCACAGAGAAAAGGTGAAAATAGCAGGTATGCTGATTGGCTAACAGACGATGTCTTTTAGAGACCCTTATCTTGAGAAATTCCCATCTTTCCCATAGGCCAAGACCTGTGCCCTTCCCAAATTTCCCATCCTGTTGATTTATCTAATGGATTGTTTGGGACTTGAAACTGCCCTCTTTTCTGATGGTGTCCCAGCCACATAAACTGCCAGTAACTTTCCCTCCCTCAGAGTTCTGAGATAAGCAGGTGTCACAGACCACCAGCTGGGAGAGAGGGGCCTGGTGCTTCCTGCCTGTCCGTATCTCTTTGATGGACTCCCAGCACACCTCATGCTGAAAATGTTCCACAATTTCTTGTTTTAAAAAAAAAAAATGTGTTGCTCTTTATGACTCCATCTGCATGTATGTTAATAAAAGAGTTCCATTCCCAGCTCCCATATCGGCAACTCAAAACTACCTGTTATTCAGGCTCCAGGGACAACTCCTTCTCTCACGGGCATCTGAACTCACTTGCTCATGCATAGACATAAATTAATAAGTTTTTTAGAAACAGATGCAGGACCATTGTCACAACATGCCAATGATAATACAAAACTAATCTTGATGGTTTTCTGCTGTGTGAATAAATTTACTTTGTTCCTCCCATGCACAAAGGGATTAACTGTGTGTTTTCTTTTTACAGTTACTAATTTATTTTGGCTGTGGGAGGCATGCAGGTGGAGCCATAAGGCAACATGCAATAGCTAAACTTTTTGCACCATGTGGCTCTCTAGCAATTGCCATCCGTCATCAGATAATTGGCGGCAAGTACGCCCTGAGCCATCTTGCTGGTCCATTAAAATACTTTTGAGCCACCGGCAACTATGATGTAGTAAATGAGCCAGTGGGGGTGGCATTGTAACTGTAGCATACACCTGTAATCCCAACAGAGAGTCCGGGGGCTTGTCAGCATCAGTTCCTTACTGCTTAAAGAAAAAAAAAAAAAAAAAATCAGGGTGTATTTGAGAATTTTTCTGTCAGGAAAACAGAAAGCACTGCAAACAATTTAGTGCAGAGCCTTAACTACATTTTGTTTTGGGTAATCTTTAGCCTATCAAATAGCCGTTCTTTGTGCTCCCCACCACCTCTGTCAGACCTAACATTCCGTACTATCACATAAAGCTTGGCTTAACATCTTGACAACAGATTAAAAAAAAAAAAAAAAAAACTTTTAGAATGTATTTGCTTAGCAAACCCCTAGTTCCCCACTAACCAAAGAGCCAAGAGTGTTTTCAGATAGCATACAGGGCCCAGCATTCTCCCCATCTTGTTACAATCCACCTGCTTGATGTACCCATTAATGTATTGGAAAAGTGTCTTGATTTATGTCTTTGTTCTGTTACTATAAAAAGCTTGTGAAATTGTTACCTAATTCTAGCCATGGTCTTTCATACTTGGCTTCAGAATAAACTACATTTTATTTATTTATTTATTTATTTATTTATTTATTTATTTATTTATTTATTTA